GAATTAGATGGACCAAATTTAAGCGTCAAGTTTAAGAAAACGATATTTAAGCCCGGCTTAAATTTGGCAGCGGACGAGACCACTGCGTCTTAGATCAGCGTGATTTCTTCCGTACAATAGTGATTGTATGGACGAATAATATTAAAAATCATTGTTCGTAACGTATTTGGCTTCATTAATGGCGAGCGATTGTCTGTAGATTACGTGAAAACTTGCAAATCTCTGCAAGAAATCGTCCATTTCACTTTTACTCTTTCTCTCTCTCGTAATTCCAAGATTTCGTCGTAAATGCTTACGTCCACGTTCTCATTTTAGAATAATGTACAAGTAAAATACGCGCCTTTAGATCCTCTTCACCGGAACATACTATTTTCACGTAATCATTTCGTAATCGCCAATTTCATCCACATATGAATCTAGCGTCACAACTGAGAGCCTGTTTGAGAATGGCCGGCTCGAGATGTCTGGTTTAAATCAATACACGGTACTGTAGTTACGTAGCCAAAGGAACCTTCGTCCTCGTAATTTTACGAGCAACAGAAGTAACGTACGTGTATTTTAAGCTGTGTATACCTGGCCACGCGTTACGCACCGTAAGCACACCACAGGTATTTACAACGATTGTTCAAGATTGTGTATTCCGCAACGTCTAAGTTCGGATAATTGTGTCTTTTCATACATCCTGTGGTAAACCTATCTGGTTGATGTATGTCGTAAATAAAACCCGCACGAACAATTTTCACACTCGGAAAAATTTATCGATGAGAAACGACGACGTTGAATTTATTTTACACGATGTATACACACGACATACATTATCGCAATTACAAGGAGACAGAAGATTGCATGTTTGTCGATGTCGTTGAGTACATGGAGGACTGTACTATAAACATGACTTAAATAAAGTTATTCGAACGATACAACGAATACATCATTTATTACGATTACGTCGAACATCTATGAGCTCTGCGACACCGTAAAACACAGATTGGATGTAAAGAAATTATTGGAACAAATATTCAGAATATCAAAAAAATACCAAAATTAATTTATATAATAATTTTGAGGCATTAGCAAATCATATCTTGATATCGACAAATTTCTTATAAGAAATCTTTTTTTAATATTTTTAATTTAATTTAATATTGAAGCTTTATATAAAGTTACTAGTTATTTTTAATTATGCTATATTTTGCTATAATCGGTACACTATCATTGCTCTCAAAATTATCAATTGCCAAACATATTGTGAAAAATACATTCGATACAGGTATGCGCTATCATATATATGTCTGTACAGGATGTCTTATATAGATTGGATATAGACCGATACTATCATTCCTTGTCAAAACATAAGCTTTAAGAAGAAATACGATAGTATCAGTCTGTACCTTACATAAGACACCTTGTATATATATTCTTTTAGCCATTACTTTTTTGCCATGATTATACCTATCTATTTATCGTACTTTTACTTTCAAATTTTTCACTGGCGATCGCGAGTGGACCCACCGCACCAGGTTTCAGCATCTGATTCGGCATAGCGGCGAGCGATCCGGCGCCGCCTCTCTGCTTTTGCGCGGCGTCGTAAAGTTGTTTTTGCATAACAGCTAGGGAGACTTTATTGGCGGACAGGAAATCCTTCATGGAGATCAGTTCGCCGGACATCCTGCGAGGCGTCTCCGAATTATCCTCTGCCCTGATTGAATCCCTGCCAACGAATCTTGTCGTCGGCCTCCTCTTTGAATAGTATATGGTCGATATTGAAGATTGTCGCCTTGGCAGATACGGTGCCGCCACGTCCCGATTACCATACTGCAGCTTGTGTATCACATAATTCAGGCCCTGCTTTATCACGATCGACGTGACGTTCAACAGAGAGTATATGCAGCAACATCCCACCACTAGGAAGATGAAGTTCGCAAATCTGTACCTGCGTAAACGCGCGTAAAAAGGAATAAAACCTGTTTACACACTTTGAACTTTATTCGCAAAAATCTTTTTATTTTTAAGAACTTGCAATTTTCAAGAATTATTAATATCTTTAAATTTTCATAAGGAAAAAATCTATTTAACATTTGTGTAAAATTTCAACTGCGCGCCGCAATAAATTCATGCAAATTTGATCTCACTAATTCGACGAGAAATTTTCACAACGTACCAATGTACGTGAGGATAGTTCGGTTTTTGCGTGCTAACGAAGTCGCCGAATCCGATAGTGGTGAAGCTGATGAAAGCAAAGTACAACGCGTCAAAGTAATCCCAGTCCTCCAGCGATGCATAGAGCGCGGCAGCGCAACAGGCAATGATACAGGAAACCGCGGACAAGTAGAGCATGACCCCATATACGCTTGGTTTCCATTGATCCAGATCCACGTGATCGTCGTCGTCGAGAATGTCCGGTAAAGACGATCTTTTTGGAGTGTTCGCCGTTGACTTAGAAACCCGTCGAGACGCTAATGTAGTCTTGCGAAGACGTCTCCTCAATCGACGTATATGGCAGCTGCGTAAAATCCACGCCAAGAAAGTGATGATTCTTTCCAGGAAAAGATTGAAGAACAGTATGCCACCTAAATTATTCATATTTAAATAAAGATTTACAAAATTTACATTTTTCGCACGATAGAGAATGTTTTAAAAAGTCTTATTTTAATGTTAAGAATAGAGTCTATCTGCCAGTTTTCCCACTTCATTAAGAGCAGAGACTATTTTTTTATTGATTATGATTTTTGTTGAATTTTTTTTTAATATTTGACGTTAAATAATTTTATTACTTGGTATATATTTGTAAAATTACCGGAACAACCGAAGAAACCATAAAGAACGACTGCCGCTTTGCCGGCCGTCGTCTGGGGCGCGGTGTTTCCGTATCCTGTAAAATTACTTAAGTGTCATCAGCTTCTTTTATTTCAGAAACTGCATTATATAGTGACATGTGTGGATATATATGTATAGAGAGATCGGAGCGACCAAGGGACAACCAGGCCTGTGGGGATAAATGCGAGACTAGGTCGCGAGATATTAGCATTCCGGAATTTACAGGAGTACATTCTCATGCATACGCCGGCCGACGACCTTTATCCCTTTATTTAACATCATTATCAAGAGTTTTACTGAAGAATGCGATCATCTCGACAATTTTTCTTTATCCTATATAAATACTTATATACATCGCAAAATCATCTTTACACTCGAAGAATTTAACTTTACTTTAATAAAAAAAAAAAAAAAATATTGTGCGGATTAATAATAATAATTCTAATATAAAAAAACTTTGCTTTTACAGATGTTAAGATCTAGAATGTAAAATTAAATCACTGAAATAGATCGTTCTCATTAAAAACGATCTTTTCATGCGACTTCTCAAGAACAGGGAACCAAAAGAATGCGAAGAACACACGCGACACGAATTCTACTGACCGCGATATCCCGGTCACGACGTGGATGCGGATGACTAGTGGATAGTATTCCAAACACGGTATATTGTGTATGTTACATTTCTTACCGATCGTAGAAACTATGGTGCCTACGAAATGAAAACTGCCAGGAAAGTCCCAGCGGCGTCTCTTGTTGATGATGCCGGTGGCGGAAGCGTTGCCGTAGGCGTACAACAACTCGTGTAGTCTCTGCAGGGCCAAGGGGCTGCCTCGCAGGTGGTGTCTTCGAAACGCGTGATATACCCGCCAAAATTCTGTCGCCTATGTCCCCCGTCCCCCGAAGATATTGGTAGAAAAATTAAAATAAACGGATGACTTATCGTAAATTTGACAATAAAAGTATATCTCCACACATTGATCACGTGTTACTAAAATACACACACAATTCATTGATTCGCGTCTGGTACGAATTAATATTAAATAAAGTCTCTGCTGTCTCTTTAAATCGCTAATTTATATAGGTATACTTTGCATACAAAAAAAGCTCGTTTTAACATCTTTTTATCTCAAAAATAAGAGATGCACATTTTTTCAACCTATAATTGTTCCTTATAAAAACTATTGCAACGAGCAAATAAGAATAATTTTCTGCGAAGATACACATGTATAACACGACAATTCTGTACCTGCCGTATCTCAAGATCACTCTCTAGCCTTTGGAAGAGAGCCGCGCCTGCGAGCATGTACGCTGCCAGGACAACAGCGAGGAGGATGATCCTGGCGTTGTCCTCCGCGATGCCTCCACACAAGCACATCACCGGCGACTCTCATCTTCCCGAGAGCCGGCGGCTGCTGCACGCGATCCCCACCGCCGTTCTTCATCCGAAGTGGGTGGCGCAAGCTCAGGGGACGAGAAGAATTTACGAATAAATACAAGAATGTGTGAGAGGAGCACAATCTGAGAGAACATCTCTTTAAAACGTACGTACATAGATAATGCATCTGAAGAAAAAAAATATTTGATATTATTAGATAATTCGATTTTCTCTTGTTAAATATCAGATATTAATACCATCATTTCTTTGACGAATTACGTAAAATTTGAATTCTCAAATGATTTTAAGTTTACGCGGTAAAGTATACTAACAATTAGCGGCAATAAAATTGATCGGAGCTAGATTGGAGAATATCCTAATTGCCTTGCATTGACGCGGCGGTATAGAGCGACATAGCGGAAAGTAGGGATGTGTATGTAGGGCAATCTCCACCGCCAGTACCATTGAGAGAGCAAATCCTTTGACGAGATAAAAATAGAAATATACAAACACTCGCTCTTGCGTATTCAACTTGCGTGAACTCTGTCAAGGGGATGTCTTTTCGTGAAAAGCATCTTTAAGCAAACGCGAGAGATAACTAGTTGGCGAATGCGAAAAAGACAGATGCTAAACTGACCTTACGCCTTATCGATATCTTCAAGTCTACCAATTCAAAAGTTACGCATAAACCAGATATTTCGAAAATACTGTAAACCTAATTCCAAACCAATTTCGCTCTCTATAATTAAAAGAGGAAAAGAAAAAGGGCAAGGGGGGATAATGGAGAGAGTGAATCGTAAACGTTGTATAATAAAAATATTTTGTTAACAGTCAATCTGAACAAGCTAACGACACGCTACGTTGGTATAAATATAATAGATACTATCGTATTCTCATACTGAGATAATTGTATACACACATACAAAAATCTACACATAAAATATTTGTAAAATATCCTTTACTAACTATAATACTAATGTTACGTCTCAGACGTGTGTTAGATCTTATCGCTTTGTATTAGTAATATTCGAAAGTTAACAGATAATCGTCTTGTCGGTAGGATTGTTAATGCCTTGCTTGCGGACCCTCCTCCAATTTCCGCCAGACAACCTGAAGAGCAAAGACGATTAATCATAAATATCGTAATACATCATATGGAAAGTATCACGCGGAAGATTCTTTCGGACAAATTCTAGGATATAAAAATCGTACAAAATATTTAGATTTTAAAGAAAAGAGAGATCTTCATTTTAATTCTCTTCATATTTTTTTTAAAAGATTCTTTTCTTCTGAAAATATAGAACTAAAGATTACGTCTTAAAAATTACGCGTTCATCAAAGAGTGGTCCCACGATATTTACTTACATTGCACATTTCTCTAACTAGCGCTTTCTCTCCATCATGACCTTCTTCTCTTTCCAGTTGTTCTCTGACTTCAAGAACCTGAAGAGCGCGCACTACGGCTTCCGGTCGGCTTCCTAAGCCGTGAGTATTGTCGTTCGGGCTCGCAGAACTGTCCCAAACTTCACCGGGTGGTACTTCCCAACCTTGCGCACGGGCTTGGAGAACACTCTTATCTTCCTCCAACTGCTTCACCCGTTGCTCTAAATTCTTTACGTATTGCATCGTTTGGTCTGCAAAAGATTCACAAAAGTTCGCAATCACTCCGGGATGCAAGAAAATCGTCGAATCATATCTTCCGCATACAGTATGTACAAAATATCATATTATTTGACGATTATAAGTACATTTAATATTCAAGTTTCACTTGCGTATAATGTATAATTATAATGTCAAATTAATATTATGATGCAAAACCAATTATTTTCTTTCTCTTAAAACATATATAATTTTGTAGAAATTATAATTGTGCAACAGAATTATTATGTTTTCTACTTGAGCGTAGACTTTCGCGTTAAAAAATGGTTTTCGCTTATTTGCGAGAGAGAGAAAGAGAGGTCAGTTATTTCTTTTTACTAGATTTTACCGTTAAATGTGGAAGTATGCCTTGGCCTCGGCAGCGCGGTCTCTTCGGCGTTTGTGCTCGAACTCGATCCATCGCCATCATCCCTTTGACCGCCACCGCGTTCTTCATCGAGATATAGGCACAACTCTTTGAGCTCCAGATTATCCTTAATCAACTCTTGCTGTTTGTTATCCAGCTGACGCAACTTGTTCTGGTAGGCCGAGACTTCTTGTCGCATAACGCTCACTGTGTATCGGCCGAACCTCTGCCACTCTCTCGCTAGCTTACGACCCTTTTGCCGATCGTCGTCTAAAAAGCAACACAGATCTCGCAGCTCCTGATTATCGTCGTTCAGTCTTTGGTTGGCCTCCTTGAGCGCCCGCAGCTCGTTCAACTGGAAAGTAGATAGCATTATCAAGCCACGCTCGCTTTATATTCTTTACAGTCAGGATTTTCGATAAATCCGAAAATCCTGAAATTTTATATTTTCACGAACAATGTGTGAGTAAAAAAATAGATTTATATAAATTCAAACATATATAAGAATTCTGTTGCACTGTTGGGAATAAAGATTGACTTTAAATTGCATAAAAATCTATAGATAAAGTCTAATCATAAATTTTGAACTATTTGAATACAATTAACAAGTTCTCTATATTTAGTTCTATATATTTTTTGATTTTTTTATATATCTATATATATGTATTTTTTTGATCACATAATACTAATACACCTTTTAATTCAGCCGAATATCTTTTGTATTATTAGTCGATGTGTTTGTTGCGAGAGAAATAACGGAGTCATTGATCTCATGCGGATGACGTATTCACGCTGCGGTACGCACCGATTGTGTCGAAAAAAGTCTTTCATTACGTGTGTATGAGCAACGCGTGACCAATTTCGATTACGCAGTTTCGATAAAACCAGCATTTTACCGGCTAAAGAAAACCGATTGTCCCCACGATTATTTGCGGCTTATCTCACATACGCGTGACTGCTATAAATTATGACAGTCGTTTCAATCTGCATGACCTACAAGAGCCTCTCAAAAACTTCCATGTGACGCGCTAAAGATTTCAAGGTCAGCGAACCACATTTCGCATCCGGAAAATATAACAAAATGTTACAGTATATCGTGATTTTATTGACATAATGATCTGTGATAGCACGATACCATAAAAAAGTAGAAAAGATGTACTTGCATAACCAGTTATCTATAAAGTTAATAGAACTGAATTTATCTCATTCAATTTCCATTTATTACTAAATGGAAATCATTAAAAAATATTAATAGAAAAACGAGGTTCTGAAATAACAATAAAATAAATGAAATTAATAATTATTTAGTCTGCGTTATCTATTTCTATCAAATTATATTTTTACAATAGATTTTTTGACCAAATTAAATTGCACTTTCTTGTTTAACACGACTCATTAACTTTACGATTGTGATTTGACTAATTCAGTCATTTACGCTACCAGAAAATTTGGCAAAAGAACTCACCAAACTCTGTATCTGGCGATTCTGCTCGGCAGCAAGCCTAGCGATGTCACTCTCGGTCTTTCGTACGAACTTGAGCATCTCCACGGGACCGAGTCGCAGAAATTCGTCGTCGCTGATTCTCTGCCTAATCGGCGCACTCTGGCCACTGTTCACCGCGGGGTATTGACTACTAGGTGGCAAATACGAGCCTTGACCAAGCTTATTTTGTTGGAAATAGGTTGGAGGCTGCTGTTGCTGCTGGTTTTTAGACGTTGCCACCGATGCAGCAGCAATTAGTGCATTACTCGGTTGCGAATGATGATGATGATGCTCTATCCTCGGCGAGTACTTGCTCTGCGCATCTTTCGGCGCCTGCTGCTGTACTTGCTGTTGTGATTGCGTCAATTGTTGTGGTTGATGCTGCTGTTGCTGGTGTGGATGATGCTGCAAGGTCGACGATGGCGGCGGCAACGTGCGCGGTTGCGTGCTCTGATGATGGTTCAAGGCCGCGCCCGGACCTTGACTGTTGCCGGCCTGGGCCGAATTCGGCGCCGACGTAATTCCGTTGGCGAAGTGAAGATGATTCTTCAGGATGCCGCTGGTGGGCTGCGGCGGGGGTTGATAGCGCGGCGGCAGTTGGTCCACTGGCTTGATCACGTGCGAAGGATGATGCTGCTGCTGCTGGTGTTGCGGCTGTTGCTGCTGCTGCGGCTGGGACTTACTCTTATTGGACATCGCGGCTAATTTAGCTCCAGGCTGCGCCGTGTCCCATTTCAGAAAGTCCGTCGCAGTCTCTTCGCGCCGGTTCGACCCGCCAAAATCTGGGTCAGCGCGCGGTCTCTCACGAGCGACGGCGGGTCCGGTCCGCGCGACCGGCCCCGCGCGATACATACGTTGTTCCCTCCACGTCTTCCGGGCCTCGCCTTATCGCCGTAGGTGGCCCTACACGCGCGCTACTCGCTACTCTCGACGGCCGATTTTCTGGGCTCTTCTTCTTCTTCGTCTCTTTGGCCTTCTCTTTGCCTTCTTCTCGTCTTCTTTCGCGCGCTTCTTGTTCCAAGTGCACCTGCCAATAGCGCCTAACTGTTGCGTGTTTGCGACGCAACAGAGAATTCTCTCACGAAGGATTCTTTCAATCTTCCGTAATCCTAGTCTAGCGAGATCCGTTATGACTCAGTTATGTCCAGTTTCTCTTGGCGTCAGTTAGCAAACATTAGCTTTCTATCCGCAGTACAGACAGTCCCGTAATCCAGGAAAAGGCAGAGAAACAATTATCTCCCAAGTAACTTTATCCGATAATTAACTGGAGATGAAAAAAATTGACACTATTCGCTTTTGAGAAGTTACGGGATTACACCATCCGTATTCTACAAAAAATTGAATTAATTATGAGTCTTTCACCAATCATCTTAGAAAAATGTCATTAGGAAAGATTATATAAAATCACATTATCTCAGAGTTGAATTTATCGCACAAATTGAACAAAATTGTCACCCTGTCTTGGATATTTTATTCACTGTTTGTCAAATGATCGAACGATGATATATTTGATGTGAATACATTTACCCTATTTATTTTGAAAACTAGTAGTCACTTTTGAATCTATCGTTTTACGATATCGTACAATCCATACATGCGTCAGCGTCACTCGTCACAGTCGCACAATCACGGCCTTCACGTTCAACTTAAGCCTATGCTGCTTACAATCGACATACCAGTCTCTCGTACACTAATCCCCGGCGCAATGCCACGAGTAACACCGATTCCCCTCTATTACGTATCCCCTTCACGTCTCGCCGACTTCGATGCCCTTCGCTTCATTAGGTTCAGGCGCGAGGCACAGATTTTATATCAATTCTCTTTTCGTAACATTCACACGCTTTTCCTCTCTTTTCTTCTCTTCAGTATATTATAAATCTCCATAAAGCACAAATTACACCAATTCACATGTTTTCCGTTAAAAGAAATATCCTTCTTCTCAAAGAAAAGGCAAGCAATTAAATTAATTTTCGTCTAATAGCATCATACTCTTCTTCACCTCTGCTTCGATATATCGTCGATCGCAAGGAAATATGAGATTATATCAATTTCTCTTTATCAGCATTATCACATGTCACAAATATTTCGCCTTGGCTCGCGAAAAAAACAAACACGCCTCGTCTTGTCAATTGATTCGAACGTGCCACTCTAACTTCGAGAGACGCTAATTGTTGAATTCAAATTCACGTAGCTGTCATTCTGGCGGCGCCGAGAGTAGATGGCGGGAAGCCCGCTAACTCGCGACGTGTCCTCGACTTGTGGTCGTCGTCATCTCACCTGGCTTCCCGCCTGTGCTCCCCTACACCTCCAGATTCGTAATCTCTCAGAAAATGCGCATTCCGCATTGTCGGTCGTTCGCGCTGCCAACTATGCACCGCCCGAGCTTAAGTTTCAGATGTGCCTGGGGGCCCAGGCCCAGTCGTCGAGACGTTCTACGTCCTCCAAGAGAACCTTACCGGTCGCCACGAGACGACTGCCGCCACTCCACTCCGGACTGGTAATGCCGAGTGATGCTTTCGCTCGCTCGACGGCCGACGCGGGCCGGGTCCCCGTTTTTCTCGCCGCTGGGCCGCATTTCACGGGATGCCCAGTGCCGTATTCACTCGACTGGACCAACGTGAAACTCGTAGATGTATTCGTCGCCAGTGCACACAATGTCTCTTTTTGTTACGTCTAAAATTTAAATTAAGTTTTTAAATCTCTTTTCCTCCTCGTTTTTTCACTCTTAATGCTTATGTGTCAGATAATAGATATTTTTCTTTCTTCACTCCTAATCCTTTTGACTACGGCCGTAGTATAACAATCTTTCTAGTATCTGGTAATCCGTCAGTATCTGGAAATCACGTCAGAATTAGTCGTTAAATCTTGTTCAATATAAGATCCACGATTTTTGTCGCGAATTTATAAATATCGATTCTCTCATAAATTTACATGCGTTATTGAGCCAATGTTTCAACATTTATCACTAATCACGTGAGCCCCGATATGTGTAACTCACGTCAAAATCGGATACTAACAATATGGCGTTTCCTCGTAGAACATGAAGTGACTGTAGACGATACCAGGTCCGGTAAGACCCTGACGCGGGAACGTGCAACGATCTTCCGATTGGCTCGCTCGAGCAGCAAAGGGAAAGGGTTGAAACGAAAGTTCCCAAGTCGTGGGAGGTTGCGAGACCAGAGGTCGACATATAGGGCCCCGCGATTTAATAGCGACGTTGAAAAGGATCGATGCTGATAAATATACCACGTTACGTTATGTTAATACGAATTTGTATAATTGTATAACTTTTATTTCGAAAATACGAATTTTGAAGCATATAGATCACAGTTCATTCTCGCGCGTCTATTCTGTCGTTTATTTGAAATTTATATTATATGCTAAAGTTTCTTTTGATAAAATCTAATTCCGGGAGATTACGAGTGTTCCAGAATTGTAACAAATTTTTTTAATGGTTACTTATTCTTACGGGATTATTTGATGATGGATTTCCTAATTCTTTTTCCGCCAGAGTTTAACATGCGACCTCGGTATTTACAGCTAGTTCGTAGTAATTAATCGTAGAGTTTCCCATGAGACTTTCCGGTCGTCTGAGTTTACAGCGGAAAACACTGATCTCTCAACGAACGAGAGAACATTAGCATGCAAGTAGAAGCACGGTACACGTAATTTCCATCGATGCATTGTGTCGATGAAAAGAAAAGTCATTTCCTTCGCTGGTTAGCACCTGTAATCGCGCGCACAGAAAATGATTATTCAGTAATATATATATATACATATATATAACAGTGTAAATCGATAACTTATTTTTTTCACGTATTTTTTGCGATAAGAAGCTATTTGGAGTAAACGATTCGAGATGAAAATTACAAGAGCTTGCAAGTTTAAATTTTTCAGATCAATCTGTCTTATCAAAGCTTATATCTTTCCTTTGTAATTTTTTTTTTTTTAAGATATGTAAATAATTGGCGGCCGTCGATTTTGCAGACTGTACCGCGCGGCAGGTGTTACTTCTTTATACTTGTTCGCCAGAGGTGATCTTTGAAAATATTCTACCTGTACAGATACAATGGGGATGCACCTGCGTTCCAGTGCCGTCTGTGTGCGTTTTACGTTAGACACCGGATGAGCAATGAAGGGATCAGGTAAAATTTCAAAGCGTCCCTTTAAATCCGGTTTGTCGAGACATCGGAATGCCGGAAAACATTTCCATCTCAGGTCAGATACGAGACGTCTATCGTACTTCCATAAAAAAGCTTTCACATGCAAAGATACGTGCCGGACTTTTGATTAAAATGTCGTTGGATCGAGTGCATTGTCTTGAGAGAAACATGAAATCAAGATTTTTATACCTTGCTAAATAAGTTATGAAAATTCATATAAAGAAACTTAAAGGAATATATATAAAGACATTCGTATACGAAGATAAATTTGTACCTTATTCCAAGTATTTATGCACCAAGTTGATACATATATGTGTATGTGTGTGTGTTCACTCTTCATATATATATAATTGACTGAATATCAAAATGACATTAACTTCTTCAAAATAGGGGGAGATTTCACATACACCAAAAATAGAAAATTTTCCATGAGCGTGTAACCAATTTATCGGGAGACAATTCCAACTATTCTTAACAAGCGTAAAAAAACACTCGACCGAATTCACAAAAGACAATTCGAAGAATTTAGGTTTATTACTGTGCGGTGTAAATCGAACTCGCATGAACATGAAAGTTCTGTTTTACCCACGTTGTGGGTAAAACAGAACGGGGCTAAAAAGTATCAAATTCCACCGGTAGATGTAGCTGAGTGCGCGGAGACTGACCCGACCACCGATGACGTAGCGGCGCTTGCGGCTACATTCAAGCCGCATCGCCGCATCCAGTAGCACGTAATGTATACATCGGGGACGGGAAGCGCGTAATCCGCAGTGAAATAGAGGAAAATCGATGGCCGGGACGAGGTGTGTCGGCGACGACGGTCTCGAAATTTGAACCCTCTCGTTGCCCCGAGTACGGAAACAACGTTGGTCGTGTGATTTCGCGAGAAGATCCAGAGAGATTATACTTTGATCTCACACGGCCGAGTCGTCGCTGCCGCTACCGCGTGAAGTTAATCGCGACCACGCGCGTTCACCAGGTGGATATTATAACATTCGCCTCGCGAGTGATTGGCCGTCCTTTATCATCATGATACGCGAAAACATCCCTCAGTTTGGCAATCGCACCAAAAATGTTTGCGGCACGAATGTCCAACGGAACCCTCGCGCGACGTATCGGATCAGAGTCTGCAATCCGGATTAGACGCGATGATGCGACATGCTGGACTGCTGGACAGATCAGGTAATTCATCACAATGTTTTATGATAAATATTTTAATATCGTTAAATATGATATCGTTTTGGTAATCGATAGTGGTCAAATACGGTGATATAACTTGCGTAATTAATAATATATATTGATAACATATTATTATTAGAGCAAATAGTATAATTTATTAGCAGTGCAAATTAATATTAAGCGAATAAGAATTTAAAATTAACCCGATTTCTCTTGTTTTTGTAACGGTGAATCGATTCTCGTGTAATTCGATTCCACGAGAAATACAATACGATTTATCTCATCGCAATCCTAACAATATGTATTATGTAGATTATATTTTTAGTTTTTGCTATCTGATATTTATTTTGCAGATGAAAAATATGATAAAAACATTCTTATAATTTATATTTTAATATTATCTTAATATTATATCTTTATATATGTATATAGAGACATAATCAAATATCAAAGTCCATAATGCTATCAAATGTAAATATTTTCTTGCGCATTATTTCAAATTTGTTGTTTATTTCTCATTGCCTGAAATGCATCATGATCTTTTTTTATGATTTTACATATGCATGATTATGTTAATTAACAGACGTCAGAATGAGCACGCGATATAATTTTATCGCACACTATTTTAATTTAACAAGCAGTTTCGCGTAAAATTATTGGTATGTAGCTAAAAAATAAAAAATAACAGCAATTTCTGTTTATATTTGCTTATACGATATTTGCATATATAATACTTGTTTCATTAAAGTTTTATTACATACATAGTATCTTTCAGATCTAAAATGTGTTATTTGCAATAAATTAAAAATAAAAAGTGTCTGATGTTACATTAAGGGAAATTTAATTTAAGGATATCAGAAAAATGCGAATCAGAATACACATATATCTACTGGATAGTAATTGAATATTTTACTGCGCGCGCGTTTGAATATGTATGATATATATGCGTAGTTATGTTCTAATTTCGGAATATAGGCTCTTCCATGACGGTTTAGTGTTACATTACATCATTTTTCATAATATCTGGAAATAATTCATTGGTTACGACATGAGAACGACTTTGTCGCAAGCATTATTTATACATTATATGTAAAATGGTAATATTTTATATTTATTGCGTAGTTAGCACATAGTAAGTTACGTAAATAGACAAATATGTCACAAGAAAAAAAAACAGAGTTAATAAATTGATCAATTAAATTTAGCAACTAAATAATGGTTGCTAAAAATTATGCATGAAAAAAATATTTGTTTTTATTTTTTATTTATAGCTCATGTGAAATTAATACTTCTTTTTTTTCCAAGATATTTTCGCGAATATTGATTGTTAAATTTCTATGATAAGTGCTATCAATTTGTGTGATCGAATTAGTTCCATTAATTCGGCTAGATATATTATTTGTCCAAATTGTTTAGGTTTCTTGATCGACGTTTCTCGTTGTTTAGTGCTTAATAATCGATGTCAATACCATACATTGTATTTATCATATAGCGAGAATCATGATGGAATCGTAGTTGCAACTTTGTGATTCAAATGCTCGGTGATTAAAAAATGTGAAATCGAAACCTTGTTCTATATTAAACTGGATATTATTTATCATTACTTCAAAGTACATTTCCATTCGTATTATTAGTTACGAAAATATGCTCGTTGTAATCACAGTGATAATAATTATCTACTCTTTCTCTCTCTCCCTTTAGACATCTTTTTCTGATTCTACAATTTGGATAATTTTCTCGTTAAAGCTAAGAAGATATACATTGTGATAATTTGATAACCTTGCGATTGAATATACATGAAAACACGACGCGATGAAAATATCCCGACATTTGCCTGACTTACACCCGAAGAACCGAAACTCATTAAATTTTACTATAATCTTTCAGAAATTTATATTACTGATATCGTGCAAAACGATATTTTTTTTTTATCTTTCGATTTACAGTTTTTATCTTATCATATAAAAGTTCTGTTTTTATAAAATTAACGAATTTTATTTAAGTACGTTTATATTTTATATATTTTTTTCTGTTATAGAATATATAATTTTAATTCAATTTAAATTAATCGTAAAAGATTACTTTAAAAAGTAATTGTCAAAGTTTACTGTTGTGTGAGGTTTAAAGGCTTACGATATAAAGGAATATATTTGTTGGGAAAGAAACCGCGAAACCTTATCTTTCGTGTAAGATATCGTTTTTGCGTTCTAATGTTATGACATCAAGGAATCAGTATATTTTTCATATTATAAGTTCAAAAACTAGTTTTGATTTAATTTTCAAGATTGTAAATAGTTAACACAATCTCGTTTATGAATTATTTTTGATTAGATTGCTTTAATAGGATTTCAATTCACAAATTTAATTACAGAAAAATTCAATATTGGAAATTAAAGTTATAGCTGAAGCATAACTTTCCTTCTAGGTTACAGAAAAAATGGGGCGCTGTGTAAGGGTGATGCTATTTAACTTTTAACACCGTGTGTCCCGGCTATCTTTTTATCGATGTCGTATATGGATAGCTTGGATCGATAAGGAACGACCAATACATATAAATGTTATGTAGGAAAGATATTCTCGATATAACATTGTGTAACTTGAAAGAAATGCGATTGTCTCTGCAGAAATGCATCGCAATAAGTCCTTTTTCTGCCTTAAATCTCATCAAAATTGCTTGGTCGGCATCAATTAGAAATAATAATAACGAAAACCGCGGTCAAGATATTGAATACATTAACTTTCATATCTTAGTGATATCTCAATGAAAAGGAAAACGAATTTTGTTTTACTATGTAGTATGCATTAGTCACCCATTACTTCTGAATGACGTTTTATCATTAATAACTGTCAGACAAAAATTAACTGTGAAAGATAAAACATTTATTCTGTGTACATGTTTTTACTTACATAATTATTTACTTGTCAGTATATTTCGTTAAGCTTACAGAGAATATAATTAATATAAATTATTATATGTGTGATAATATTTATATTTTTATAACTGCAGAAGGGATGATCATCTCTTTCTCTTTGTCTCGTATCTCTATATTCTTCTAAGAAATCTCTTTGATTCTAGAATGCAGGAAACTAATTATAGGAAAGTTGTACGGCAAACGCATCGTACCATGACGGTCGTACCGAGAGAATTATTATCTCGCGGCTGAAACTACCTCGTGAAATCGCCATTCATCGCGCGGCCTTCGGATACGCGTCCGCTTCCGCGGAAAAAGCGATCGCGCGTGGTGTGCACGCTTTAGTACGACAGTAGGACGCCGACCGTCGCCGGGTAAGGAGTAACTTTGTTGTCGCGTTTCGTACTCCGGAAACCTTCGTCGATCGGCAAAGTTGTGCGTTCTTCCTTAATCGGCCACAGTGTCGACGAGACGCAGGAAAATCAGCGGATAGAACAAACAGAATTGGAACGCCCTTTTGGGAAGGAACAGGTGCGGTAATCATATGTATCTCTTTGCGAAGGTCCTTTTTTTTTTTTTTTTTTTTTTTTTTTTTTTTTTTTTTTGTGCGAGAGAGCAACCAA